GGTGAGGCAGGCGTTGGCCGTGCCTGGGCGGGGGCGGGGCGGCGCACCCCTCGAACGTTTTAATGTCCTTTCCCTCCTTATGACTTGTTCTTTCCCTCGCTACGCGCTGCTACGCGCTGCTGTACGCCCCCTTTTATCCGACCGCATTCGGCAATCGCGTCGCGTCGCGTGGGGTCCACAAATTGAAATGTATTGGATTTCTGGAATCACTTTGAAGTTTGGCGCCACCCGCTGCGCCCGGGCCCGGCTTGGGCTGGGCGGGGGCTCCGCGACGGTCGGTCGGCGGGCCGCCCGGTCGCGGACACGGTCCCCGGCGCGGCGCTGCAGGCCGCGGTGGCGGTGGGCGTGGCGGTGGCCGAAATAAAGTGGCCCGTTTAAGGTATTTTATGGCGGTGCCCCGGAATGAAGTTGTTCATCATATCGCGAAGTAGTACGCTAGTGCGGCACCAGCCACCTCGCGCAGACCACTCGGAGTACGTCGTCGTCGCACTGCCTGGCCTTGCCCGGCCGCCCCGCGTCCGACGTCCAATCAAGACGGCGCTGATTGCGTTCCCTGTTTTATCACTAAATTAGCTATTATGTCCGGTGCGCGCTAATGATGATTGGTCGATCGTCGCTACTGTCTGCAGCCGCTTGTTCCACGTGAAGAATGATTGGGGGGGGGGGGCTTTTTAAGGAGTGTCGCCGCTCCGCCTTCGAGAGGCTCTTCAGCGCGGAAAGGCCGTTAGAATAAGTAAAAGTGATGCATTGATTTTTTGTTGTTTGGAGGGTTTTAAGTAGAGCTTGACCGTCGATCGCACCCACTTTCGCTGAACTCCCATTTTTTCTTTCTTGTCGTGGATGTGAGTGGTCGCGCGGCGAGCACTTTTCAGCCTCTGCCGCGCGGGGCGAGCGGGGCGACGCACCCCTTCCCTGGCGGCACGGTCACTGAGCGATATGTCCATTCTGGCCCGGCTGGCGCCAAAAAAATGGATCCCCTTGGCGCTGTCTCGGCCGAGGTCTGCCCGGCGCGCCTCGGCGCCGCGCGAACACTTCACCTCGTTCGCGCCTGCGAAGTTGTCCAGGGTGGCCGAGCCGGGCCGAGCCACGCCAACCCCCTCGCGGGAGCAAACACGGTTATTGTTGTTTGAACTACTGCTGCCCGGCCGCCGCTGCCCAGCTGTTTGTTTTGGCGGCCAGTGCAGCGTGGCGGCACCGCATGCTCTGTCTCTCTCGCACCCCCGCGCCGCGCCCCGAGGGTGCGAGAGAGACGGAGCGCGGTTCAGAATCAGCCTGCGGCCTGCGGGCGACTCGAGGGGCGATTTCTTGCGCGTCATCGCACGTAATAACAACACACACTCACGCAGTCACGGACCGCGCAGAGGGTGTCTGTGGTGCCACCCTTTCGCGGAGGCTGCCGTACCCGCCCCTGGCGCCCTCGCCCTGCCCAGTGCCCGGTGCCCGCCAGGTAGCTCACCCGTTTTCCACGAGCTTTCAAAGACTAAATTTTTAACTCCTTCATCCTTAACATTTAAAGTGGCCTTGGCAGTGTAGCGTCTCAGTTCCGGCCTTTGTCGCGGAGGTTCGGCGCCGTGCATTACAGGTGCCATCCTCTCCTCGCCGCGGTGGCCGGGTGCGGCGCGCCGCACGATTTGACGTAAGACGACGGAAAAAGGCTGCGGTGTAACCACGCGGCCAAGGCACTGCCAGGCACTGCCAGGCAGGGCACTGCCAAGGCCGCCGCGGTCTCCCCGCGCCACCCATGTGGGGCCCGGCCCGGCCCGGCCAGACGCAATGAGGTGTGTCCATGACGGCCCGGACGACCGACCGAGGACCGACGGCGGCGTGACCAACGCGGCCAACGCGGCGGCGCCTTTCCGTAAATGTTTCTTTCAAGTGCGATTGAACTCGTTTTGTGGTGAAGACGTTTGGGGGCTCCGCGCGGTGGGGCGGCGGGGGCCCTCGAGCCGCGGCTCGTCTCCATTTCATGCATGGGCTCTTTCAATAGCGGCGACCGCGGGGCGGGGCGCCAGCGCCGCTCTCTCGCGGGGCGTCCCGCAGGCCGCGGGGGCGCGAGAGAGACGGAGGCCACTGCGGGGGTAATGGACCGCGCGGACGTCCAGATGCCTTTATAATAAGCTGGTCGCCCAAAGTCCGGAATGATGGACAAGTGTGTTGTCTTGGTGGGCGCGCTGGACGGGTCGAGCCGCCCGGTCTGCAAGTCACGGGCGAGGGGCCGCCGCGGCAGGTGGCGTGTTGCCGGGTTCGAGTCCCGGGTTCGAGTCCCGGCCGGGGCGGGGCTGCCTTGTTTTGTGCGCACCGTTAAGGCCCGTCCGTCTGGCAGTGCAGTCGTTGCCGTCGTTGCCGGCACTGCGCACCCCTTTGGCCCCGTGCGTTTTTTCACCGCCCCCTCGCGCACAATGGGCCCTCTTGGTCTACTTTCTTTTCTCGATACAAGCAGCTATCGCTAACAATGGGCCAGTCGAACGGTGGGGATAAGAGGCCTGCAAGGGCCTGTAAGGGCCTGTGAGAGGGGCGGTGGGGGGAGTGAGCAAGGCCAGGCCCCGGGCGGCCTGACCGGGCCTGACGGACGGGTACGCGGCTACGCGGCGGGGAGGGGGCGGGGTACCGGCCGGCTGCTGAGTGGAGACGGGAATGGGACTGATGAAACTAGAGATAGGCTGGGAATCCTCGGGGACAGAGTCGGAGGGACCAGGGACTCCGGAGATGACGGGGGCGATTGGGACATTGAGACTGTTATTCGGAAAGTTGGCTGCGTCGTCGCTGGAACAGGGTATGCCGTGCGGCGTCGGCGTCTCCCCCAGGCACCACCGCCAGTGCACCGCCACGGCCCCTTTTTTCGGCGCGTTGTGGGTATGTTATGGGCGCTGCACCGCGTAAACCAGCGCGCCGGTGCAACCGCGTGCGGCACGACGGCACCGCACCGGCATCGCGGCCTGGAACGGCGCGGCCGGGCCCACGGCCAGGCGGCGTATCGACGTAGCCACCCCTCGGGGGTGGGAAGGGCGGCAGGGCGGCAGGGCGCGGTGGGGAGGGCCGGGGAGGGACGCGCCCTACGATTGGAAGGGCTGCTGTCGCGGCCACTCCCCTCCCCTGCCCCTTCGCGGGCACGGCCGCCAGGCCCCGCCGCCAGGCCCCGCCCTGCGCCACTCTCTCGCTCGCCAGCTTGCCACCCCCTGGCGCTCCTGGCGGGGCTGCTCGACGCCGGCCTCTTCTGCCCACCCACCCACCTCGGCCAAACTCTCCCGCGGGCCTCCCGGATGCTCGGCCTGCTCGGTGGCCGAACCGCGTGTCCTTTTCCGTATTATTTCGCTTTCTACTGAAATAGTTGGCGGTCCGGCCGAATTCCGCAGCGCAGTTGTGCCCCCTCCCCCCTCCCCTCCCGGTCGCCGCTCCGCCGCTGCGCAGCCGGGCCGGCCGGCGCCATCTTGCCGGTCTTATCATTCATTTACGTGCGACCCCCTCCAAGTGACCGGTTGGAAGGTCGGCCAGGCCGTCCGAAAGGCCGAAAGGAGAGCCGCGGCGCGCCGGCCGGGCTGATGATCTGGGCGGGGCGGGGCGGGGCGGGGCGGGGCGGAGCGCTTAGCCCGTATCGGAGGCATCAGAGCCGAGCGCGGCCGGCGGGGCAGCGAGCGCCCCAGCCAGTCTTCATATCTGAGTGACTTGCTCCAATAATGGAGGATCCGTGTCGGCCCGGCTCTGCCCTGCCCTGCAGACTGATTCCGAGAGTCGCTCTCGTTGCTCCGTCTCTCTCGCTCTCGCGGGGGGGCCCGCATAGGCGCGAGAGAGACAGAGCGCTGCCTCGCATTATCATTCTATTTATTTATTCGCTGGGCGAGTGCAAGCGCCTCCATCTTGCCGTCCCGGCCGTCCCGGCTTCGACGCCCCGATCGCCTGACTCGCCGCTGGGAACGCTTTCAAGTTTGGAATTGAGGCGACTTGAGCGGCCAGGCACTCTCTCTGTCTCTCTCGCACCCCTGCGGTACGCGGCGTGAGTGCGAGAGAGACGGCGGCCGGCGACCCGGTAAATGAAGAGCTGAGGCACAGCGACGCCAACGCCGCGAGGTACGCGAGCCGTCCAGAAGTGTCGTCCCGAAGTTGTGGGATCATAACAAGGCGCGTGGTGGCGGGGCGACGCGGGGCGTCGCGGGGCGTCGCGGGGCGCGGCGGCATGGCGTGGATTTACTGCTGTTGGGACAGGTCAGCGCGTGGGCGGGCGTCCCCCCTCCCCCTCTCCTCTTCCGGGTACCTTTCCCCGCGCGTCGAGCCGCGCACACCATCACTCGGTCTGGGTGTCTCGGCGGAGAGAAAGAAACTGCCAAGGACAGTGTCCGTGTCTCTCTTGGCGTCCTCCGCGCCCGGGGTGTCCGTCTGTCGTGTTGCTGCTCTCGCTGCGTTCAGGTTTCTCACGGGCGTCATAATAATGACCGTCGTGTGTGCCGGCCTGGCGTGGCGTGGCGTGGCGCCGCCATTTTCCAGTTAGAGGGCGATAAATCTCTGGGCGGCGAGGCGTGGCGGCGCAGCGGCCGCGTCCCGAAGGCCCCAAAGCAGCAGGGCGCGGAGCGGGCGGCCTTGGCCAAGGCCTCTGGCGGCCTCTGGCGGCCTCTGGCGGGCACAGGCCTCGGACCTGGCCGGGTTCACTGCGCTCTGCTTAGCCGCGATTTAGTGACCTGTTGAGGTCGCGGCGACAGCTTTGGCCGAGATCTGGTGCGAGGCCGGCGAGGCCGGGCCGCGCCGTGACGCATGCCCTGCAACTTTTCTGGCGCTGGCTCTGCGAATGCCGTGGCGGGCGGTGGTGACCGCCGCGGTGCCGGTGGCCGCGCTGGCTCGCCGGCGCGCTGGCCGGGCTCCATTGATATTGAAATAGATTCTGGGCCGTTTAGCACTGTGCCAACGCCCTGTCTGCCAGTCACGTGTCCAGCGGCCGGTGTTGAACACGGCGGCACACTCTTCGGATCGCCAAGGATTTTTTTTAACGCGGGTTTTGCTTTGTTTTGCAGGTAAATGGTGCCCGCGGCGAGAGTGGTCGTCCCCTGTAGACGCGAGAGCGGCGGCCACGGAAGCAGCGCGGCGGGGGGTCCTCTACTCATCAGTGTTCCTGGGGTCACCGGGCGGCGAGTACAACTCCTGTAAGTACACGCTGCATGCCTGCATATACAGTGTCGCGGCGGAGGCGCGCAACAACACCTCGGCGACGTAATGACGATGTCGATGCCGGTAGTAATTGCCGGCTTGACCGTCGGTGTCTCGGCAAGCGATAGCGCGGCCAGCGAGCCAGGCAGTACCCGCTTACCGCCACGCCACGCCCCCGCCCGTCGCTAGGCAACCGTCTCGCACCGCCTCCCGTCACCGACGGCCCGGCACGGCCCGGCACGCCGCTGCCGGCGCGTTGCGTTGCGCCACCGAGCGGCGCATGCGCGCGCTCTAGCGGCCGCGTCCCGAGTCTCTGGCGCGGCGGTCGACGCGGAGGTGCGCGCCCCCCACTCCGCGACGCCGCCGCGTTGCCGCCCCCCTCCAGCGCGGCGCGGGCGGCGTTGGGCCCCGGCCTCTGGCCGCTCACTCTGCCGGCCGGCTTCGACGGGCACTGCACTGCCTAGCGGGGGCAGCGCGGCGCCGCCGGCCAGTGGACGGCGAGGCGAGGCGAGCCTGGCCGTGGTTGGACATCGCGCGCCACCATGCGCCGCACTGAGGCCCAATCACGCGCGGATGGACGCCGCCGTCGCCAGGTCGCCGTCGTCACCCCGTCACCGGCACGGCCTCGGCGTCGACGGCGCCCCCGAATGCATAATAAAGTTGGTGCGAATGTGGGTGTGTGTTCTTGTCGAGTGGCGGTCTGGCGGGTGAGCGGCTCTAGCCCTCGATTTCCTACCCTCCCCGATTCGCCGAGCGAGAGAGAGAAAGAGACCCCTCTGCTCGGCGGCCTCCGCGCCCTCCGCGCCGGTGCCGCAGTCTGCGGTCTGGAGTCTGACCTCCGGGCCCTGGCGGCCTGGCGGCCTGCGCCTCGTGGCCTCCACTCTCCCCGCATCCTTCTGCCTGCAGTTGACGGCTCGGAAAATCAAGTGATGCTTTTTATACCCACCCCCTGGCCGGGCCAGGGCCTCTCTTCCGCGTTCCGTCTCCTCTGCCCGGACATCTCTGTCTCTCTTCCTCTCTCTCTCTCTCTCTCTCTCTCTCTCTCTCTCTCTCTCTCTCCTCTCTCTCTCCCTCTCTCTCTCTCTCTCCTTCCCTCCTCTCACACCATCCTTGGCCTTTGTAGGCCGCACATCGCCGTGGGTATTTTATTCTTTGCACTGTTTTTTTTCGGCTTTGATTGCATGTTTTTGAAAATCTCTCTCCCAGCGCGCAACGCGCGGTCCAGTTGATTAACGGGGGTGAAAATTTACGTCGGGCGTAAATTGAAAACGCGGAACGATTAAGAAGCACAAGCAAGAAAGGCGCGCTTTCCCGGCCGGCACGGCACGGCACGCGGCGCCGCGTCGGGCGGAATCAAAACTAAACCGCACGTGAAATTGGCCCCGAGACTGACAATGACAGGCGAGGAGGGAAGACAGAGGCCTGAATACAAACCCGCGGGAGGGAATGCTGTGTGTGTGTGTGTGTGTGAGCGCCAAGGGGTGGTTGCTTGCGTGTGCATGTGAGGAGTGGCGGAGTTCGAAGCGGGGGAAAGGAGAAAGGGTTGTGTGTGTGTGTGTGTTTGTTTGTGTGTGTGTGCGCGCGCTCGTGCCACGGCATGGCCGGGCATGGCCCTATGGTTTGCCTCGCCCACGCCCGGCACTTCTGACGCGGTGCACGGCTCTTTTATAAATATATCGCCCCGCGGCGAGGGTGAACCAGCCAGCCAGCCCGTGTCGTTTCAGCGGTGCCGCGCTGGTGCCGGCCGGCCTGCCGCGTCCGTGTGCGTGCGTGCGTGTGTGTGTGTGTTTGTGTGGCTGGGAAAAGTTGAAAAGAGTCGCTGGCTGGACGGTGCCCTGGCGGTACAAAGGGCGCCGTGAGGGCTCCATGGGGTTCATGTCGCCCCCGCCGGTGCCATGGCGTGCCATGGCGTGCCATGGACACCGCGCTCGCCACTCCCCGCTGACAAATGACGCGCTTGCATCGGTGTCCCTTTGTCCCCCCCCCCTTTTCTTCGCCCTTTCTCTGCGGTCGGCTGGGCCGGGGGAGGGGGAGGGGGGAGTCGCCTTCGTCTTGGCAAAGTTCCTTTCTTCTCATGCGCGAAAAATGCCAATTTGGCGCATCAAACGCCTCGGCTCGTCGTCGCTGGGCTTCGCTCGGGACGCGCCGGTGCGGCCGGCCGGCTGATTCAAAAGTACGGGCCGCGGTGGCGACGCTGGCGGTCTGGCGGCCCGACACCCTGCGCTCTGTCTCTGTCGCACCCCGACCGGAGGCCGCCCCGAGTGCGAGAGAGACGGAGGGGCACTGCTCGGCATCAGCCAGCAGGGCAGGACACGGGCGTCTGAAGCGGCAAAAGCAGTAATAATAGCTGGCGTGGCGCGAGAGGGGGGCGGGGAGCGGGAAGGGGCGACGCGGTTGACGCCTGCCGTGTCTCCGACCGACACCGCTAAGTTTAGCGGCCGCGCCGCGCGGAGAGACCGTCACCTCAGAAATAGTCACCCACGCCCCTCCGCGGCCGTGGCAGTGCCGTGGCAGCGCGGCCATGCCGTGGCGGCCATGCAGTGCCTCTCCCTTCGGAACGCCTTCCCTCCCAGCGGCCTTCGGGCACCTTCGGGCACCTTCGGGCTCTCCTCGGCCAGCTGCGTGGGAGCGCTAGCGCTATCGGGGCGGAGGGACTGACCCGACGATACCCCGCGCTCGAGGGACGCCGCGGGCTCCGGTCGAGCGCGCGTCCTCTCGAGCGCGGGGTATTGACGCGTTCAGTCCCCGCGAGGATGCGTGTCTCCGAGAGTAAACCCTGCAATCGCTGGAACGGCGTCAGGCAGATTCGGAACAGCTTTCATCGCGCTGTCACTCTCGCACTCATAGGGAGCCCCCAAGGACACGAGAGAGAGCGATGAGGCGCCGGAACGCGGAATCGTTGTGACTGCGTCGACTGCGTCCGGCTCCTGTCGCCCTTGGCAGTGTATTATTTGCTTTTTGACAATCTGGACGTGTGCGTGGCCGCGTTCGTGCCGCCAGCCGTGTGTGCGTGTGTATGTGTGTGTGTGTGTGCGAGCGGGCCGTGCGTGTGTGCCCGCGCGTGCGACCGTGCGGCCGAGATGCGCCCGCCATTGTCAACAGAGAGGGGCCGCTTGGCCGCTTCGGCGTGCCGCGTGGTGCCGCGTGGCCGTGCATGGCCAAACACGCATACTCGGTGCCCCGGCGCGTATTTTCGTGTGGGAAGGGGGGGGGGGCAGTGTGGGTTGCGTGCGCGCCGCGGTCAGTGGGCTTAGCTTTTCGGAGGGACTCGGCCGCCGCCGGCCCCTCGGGAAGGATGAGTCGTGGGAAGGGAAGGGAAGGGTCAAGGTGCAGTATGTCCGCGGCCCGCAAATTGCCCAGTTCCGCGCACGATGCCGCGGACCGCAGAGAAATCGCCGCGGGACTCTTCATAGTTCCGCGCGCCACCGCTTTCGAGAACGCTGCTACGTACTCTTCTTCCCTTCCCCGTTTGTGGCTTTTTCTTGCTCCTTTTTCCCGGCCTTTTCCCGGCGTGGCCGCTCCGCGCTGCGCGCTGCGCCGTGGAGCGGTGCGGTGCTCGCAGCGAGGCGGCCTGTGAGGCACACTGTGAGGCAGCGAGCCGGGCCGTCTGCCGCGGCGCTCCGAGCGCGCACCAGACGAAGCGACGCCCTGTCAGTCAAAGAAGGGCCGGCGGAGCGCGGCGCGCGGGGGGGAGGGGGGCGGAGGGGGGCGTAATTGGTGCCTAAGGTGTATGATGGGTAGTTGATGGCCGGTCGGCCGTGCAGCCCTTGTTTATACCCTGCGAACGCGCTGCGCTGTGTTTATGCCCCGCCACCCAGGCCCGGCCCGGCCCGGCCCAGCCGACCCGTGACGTCGCCCAGAGTATTCTTGGTGGCGATTTCGATTTTGCGAACCAATGAACCGCGATAGTGTCTTATCGACGCATCTACGCCCGCGGCGGGAGGCAGGGAGTGCCCGTGGTGCTGGACGGGTTGGCGCCGCCGCCGGGGGGTTGGGCCAGCCAGCCGAAGAGGTGCGCTTTGCGAAACGGCTGCCGTGGTTACTGAATGGACCTGGCGGAGCCGCCAGGCAGGAGTCCGAGCACCGCTCTCGCTCGCATTCACAGGGCGTCCCGAAGGGGTGCGAGAGAGACAGAGCTCTGTTCGGAATGAGCGCGGTGCCGCGCTCCAGATCTTGCGTCACTGCTTGAAAGGAATCGAGATCTCATCGGCGGCGACGCGGCGACCATGGCGTGGACGGACGGTGCGGGGGCGGCCGACGGACGGACAGACAGACAGACCGACCGCGATAAATCTGGGAGAAGTGGGAGGGGATTTAGCGGCTTTTGTGACAGTGTACCGCGTGCGTCATCGGCCGCATTCTTGAGGGACGGCCGGCGCAGCCCTGGCCCTGCGCTGCCCTGCGCAGCCCGGGCCATCACCATGTTAGGCCCCGGGCGGCCGTGAGGGCACGGCACGGCAGGGCACGGCAGGGCACGGCAGGGCACGGCAGGGCTCGCTCCGTCGGGACGGTACGGTTCAGTCTCCCATGGCGGCGCGGCGGGTTTGAGGCAGGGACTGTCATCGGCTTGGGCTGCGCCGGGCTGCGCTAGGACGGGGTGCCTCACGCCCACACCCTGGTTGGAAACACCGTTTCCGGCTGACCGGGCGCGCTTTTCGGCTCGGACTGTACCTGAACAGGTGCCGTATGGACGTCCGTGCTGGCCGTGCTGGCCGGGCAGGCCCTGGGATGAGGCCCGGCCCGCCGCACCGGTCCCGGTGGAGCCTGGGCCCCTCCCTGTGCCCCTGGGCGATGTATGTTGCGTGGAGCGGGGCGGCGGGGCAGCGGGGCCCGGCAAGGTGGAGGGCTAGCCCGGCAACGCTCAAAGCAACTCTGTGTTGCATCCCGGCAACATTCGTGCCTCCTTTATGTACCGGGACGCTGCTGCACTGCGCTGCGCCCGTCTTTGAATCGTTAATTTATTTTTTAACTCTTTGCCTTTTTCCCTCCGTTCCTT